GTCCTAGAAGCTTCCCCTAGGAAGCCCCTCAGTTGGGATTGTCTGTTATCTTTCCCATGATGGGACTAGAGTTATGTGCTTGGGGGAGGAAGGCCACCAAGGTAGACTGCTGTTCTTATCACATCTATCAAGGGGACATACAATCAATATGACTCACACTGTTGATGTTCACCTTGATATCTGGCAGAGGTAGTTTGGCAGGAAGGTGGTAGGGTTGAGGCTACATTTTCTTATTGTACAGTTCATCTGTGCAAACCAGAATCTAATCTGGAATCAAGCATTGAGCTTGATTGTAATATCCACTGTGTCTCTTTTAATTTAAGAAATTGTTTTATTCAGTATGTGGTCTTGTTAAAGACACTGAGAAGTTGTCCTGCAGAATTCCACTTTATCTGAGGGCTTCATTACATTGTTGATCTTCCATTACTGGAAAGCTGGTCCCCTGAACTCAATGCCAATTCACAAGTAACGAGAGCAAGCTTTGAGGACAAAGAAATAAGGTTTATTATCCATCAGATGAAGAGGAGGGCAGGGAGAGCCAAGCACTAAGGCTCTGTCATCCCACTCCTGAGGGAAAATGTCTGCTTTTTAAAGGGAATTTCAGAGGCTCAGTTTAAATATGTGACAAAACACATGGCTCTTTTCTCCTAGTTTACTGGTGCCACATCTTCAAAGCTGTATGCTTTTGTTGAGAGGTTTACACTTTGGTGGTCTAAGAGAGATAAGGGGAGAAGATTGCCTGGTTTAATTAAAAATTAAGCAGTGTTAACTTTGGACTCTCCAACTTGGGAAGTGGGAAGGGGGAGAATCATCTAGAAACTTAATGTATCCAGGGAGAAATTACAAGGTCATCACATTCAGGTGCAATTGCTTTGACTCTGAGCTGGAGTTCTGGCTGTATCCTCAGTCTGAGCCACGGAGATATGACAGCAAACCTGACCGAATGAATTTCAATAAATTCATTCCACTTATTCTTCTTATAAAACTGGAACCACATTTTCACGTTGGGGCAGTGAAGAGAATTGACTAGAAGCCTTCACAGCCTGCCCTGGAACATACTGGGTACTAGGGTTTGAACTCAAGACCTCAGGTTTGCTAGGCAAGAGCTCTACTTGCCTAGAACCTCCAGCTCTTTTTTCTTTAGTTATTTTTCACAGGTCTCAGACCTATACCTCTCAAGTAGCTGGGATTACAGGTATGAGCCACCATACTCTGTTTTTTAAATATACCATCCAGACAATGTCTGCCACTAGTCAGAAGTGAAGTTGTGCACCTTGAGGGTCAGAAGATCTTTCATTTTTTCATCACCTGCATCAAACCCATAGCAAGGACTTGATACTTACCACTGAATACCTAAGTAGCAAAATAAAGAAGCATAATAATGCCACGAATGTGGCATAATATACTTTGGGAACCTTGTAGCTCTTTCCTATCTCTGAAATCTTTGCCCAGTTGTCACTGCATGAGTGTGCAGGTGTGTGTGGGCATGGACACAAACATAAATGCCTCCCATTTGGGGCTCTTTTTTTCAGGGAGTCAGAGCCCAAAAAGAGTATCAATGGAAGGGTCACCTGGATGTCACCTCAAACTGTAATTCATCAGGACAGATAGTGTGCAGAAACCTTGTTCACAGACTAAAGACAATTTACGTCAATAGAAAGTTAATAAGCGCTTACTCTCTTGCCAGCCCTGCACGAGGAATGCAGAAGTGCAAGTGTCTTATCTGACATGAGCCCCACTTTAAGGTTGTTTGGAACCTGACTGGCATGATAAGACAGATAAATTATAGAGAGCTAATGCAGTGTTAAAATGTGTGACACAGACGTTTGAGATTAAGGAAGAGCACAGAAGGAGATTAGTGTGGCCTGGAGTAGTCAGTGACAATTTCACAGTAAGCATAGGTGTGACTGGAATGTCAAGTCAAGTTGCAGGGGTGGGGTTTGTGACTAGAGCAGGGGATGCTTCCAGTCTGACTTTCTTCTTCCTGCCATGTGACCTCAGCTGTCTCATCTTTAAAGTTGGGATGCGGGGAAGGTGGCTCAAGTGGTAGAGCGCTTTCCTAGCAAGAGCAAAGCCCCGAGATCAAACTCCAGTACTGCAATCAATCAATCAATCAATATTTTATAGATCATAGAATAATGGAGAGGATTAAGTGAGATAATGCCTATGCAGTGCTTGGCATCATGGCTGACACCTGCAATGGTGATGATATCCTTGACTAGAAAGAGATACTGGGAGGCCTGAAGGACAGGAAGTTTAGTTGGAGGTATGCTTAGAGACATCAGGTCTTCCATAGAGGGTCCAAATTCGAATTCAGAAGCTGAAGCCACAGAATGGGCACCCTTTGTGAGAGGACCCAGCGAGAAAGTCAGAGGGAGCTGGAAACACATACATGCAGCTGTGCAGATCTGAGTGCTACTGGCTCCCTTTGTCTGAGCTTTGTCTCCTGTGTAAGAACTCACTCTTGCCTCTCTATAGCTTTATTCTGTCCCACTGTGACAACTCACCCCCCTCAATCCTTTCACAAGCCACGATAGGGAAGGGTGAGGATGGATTGGAGCAAATCCATCACCACACAAAGCTTATGTTCTATGGACAGTTGAGTGTGGCACCCAAAGCATAACACACAGTCATCATGACCATGCTGTGTTCAAGTCAGAAGTCACCAGGGGGCATAAGAGTCACAAGACATCCTCCATTCATCCATCCAGCAAAGATGCACTAAATACCTGCAAAATAGGCCTTGCCTTGATAAAGATGAATAATACATATTCCTTAACTCAGGAAGACAGCCTCATGAACAAATCATTGTAAGTCATGTGCTCTGGTCTACTAGAGAACCTCACAGTGCATGAGACCGATCACCAGTGTCAGGGTGGACAAATGTCCACCAGGCCATAGTTAGCAGGAGTTAACACCACCGCTGGCTCTTCAAGTGGTTGTTCATGAACTCATCACTCAGCGTGAGAAAAGGGAGGAGGCTGCTCCCTGCTCTGTTTCCCTGCTGCCCTGCCTTGGCACACTCTCTGTTGCTTGGGTGTTATTTACCCTTCTGCTCATGCTTTTAGCATAAATGTGCCCCTGCAATTCTCCTCTCTTGCCTCACCCCTATCTCTTGTTTCTTCAGTGGTAGCTTTTCAACCTTCACCTTCCCCGCTGAGGCCGTCCTGGTTCACCTCCACCTTCCACCCACTTGTCAGTACTGCCCACTGCCTGCCCTAGTTCTTTGGCTCTGTTCAGACTTGTCCCTTGAGGAGGAACTTAAGGCTTCCCTTTGGGCTTCTCTCTTTCCCAACCCAGGTCAAACCCAGGGGTTTCCACCTCTAGACTGGGTGCCAAACTTTAGTATAAGAAGGAATCTAGTAGTAAGTGTGTGTAATCCCAGCACTCAGAAGGTGAGGCAGGAGGATCGTGAGTTTGAGGCCCAGCCTGAGCTACATAGTTAGACTCTGTCCCCCAAAAAACCCTGAAGTACGTTTTATATATAAAACATATATAAACATATATATAAAACATAAAAATAGCATGATGAAACCCACTAAAAACTGTTAAAAGAGGAGGTTTGGAAGGAAGTCAAGAAAGATCAATATAGATGGGGGAGAATTTGATCAAAGTACATTATATGCATGTATGTAAATATCACAGTGAAACTCCTTTGTACATTTAATTTATGCTAATAAAAAGTTTTTAAAGAAGGCTAAACTAAAATCTAAGAACAATTAAATTTTCAACTAAAAAATCCAAACACTTTTTTAGATAACAGTAGTATGTGTGAAGAACCTTTATAAATATCTATGTTTTTTGCTCAGTCATTTTACCTCCTGAAATCTTTCCCAATGGATGGATCTACAAAGATATTTGTCACAGCATTATTTGCAACAGGGGAAATAACGGAAACCAACTAACTATCTAAAAATAACCACCACCCAAAATCTCTTGTCCAATATTTGATGACATAGGAAAGTGCTTGTGATATACAATGAGATGAAAACACTAGAAGGCTGAACTGTGGATTCCTTCACAGGGGTGGGCTCAGTACTGAGTATAAGCTTAGGGCTTGATGGTAGCTCTGTCCCTTACTAGCTGTCTGACTTTTATCAAGGTAGCAAATTATTCTTAGCCTCTGGTTCTTCATTGTCAAAATGGAAATAATAGCAGATACCATATAGGGTTATCCTGAGGATAATATGTGTGAAACATTTATTATTATTATTGAGCTGGGTCGGCCAACACTGCTGGCCTGCAGTGATGGAGACAGGTGTCCCCAGAGCACTTGGTGGTGGACTGTGATGGGGGATTTCACTGTACTTGAGAGAGCACAGAATGGAGGAGACACAGCAGAGACAAAGAATGCAGTTGGCTGGAAAGGGAATGACTGTCCTTCAGGAATAGACAACATTCTTCCTCTTTCCAAGAATCTCTCACCAGGTACAGACTCACTTTTCTAAATTTTTGTTACAGTTTCCTTCCCTTCCTGGCTAGATCTGTGATGTTTTCCTAGAGAAGCTTCCAAGATAACATTCTCAGAGCAAAGGGGAAAAGGAAAACCCGAAACATTACCCTTTGCCTAAGAATCTGATGGTCTCAGCCAATAATCCTAACGACAGGAAGAAACAGAACTGCAACTATTTGGTTTGAAGATGGACATTGAAGGCCAGGAGACAAGTGAGGCTGAGTCAGGCCTCTGAGACTTGCCAACAGAGAGGCGTGCCTGTCCCACCCTGCTGGCATGGGCAGGAGATATGACAGCTTGCTAGACTTTCTGTTGGCTCTGGCAGTGCTTGTTGGAGCAGCCAGCATCCTAAACTTTTCAGAGTCATTCCAGCTTTGGAAGTGGGGAAGGAGATTGGAAAGGTCACAAACCCAATGTCCCAGACAGCTCCTGGCTGGCTCTGCAGATGCCAGATGAGTGCTTGCCCTAGGTCCATGGCTCTGAGTCCAGGAATCCACAGAGTTCCCAAATCCACAACCCACAGGTGGTTTTTCTGACCTTTTTGCAGTGATGAGGTGCCTGGGGATCCCCACTCGCGTGATCACCAACTTTGACTCTGGCCATGACACCGATGGAAACCTGATCATTGATGAGTACTATGACAACACAGGCAGGATTCTGGAGAATAAGAAGAAGGACACTGTCTGGTGAGAGACAACTTTCAGTCCATTTCTAGGGCCACAAATCCAAGTCAAACCCCACAAGCAAGAAGTAGAGCAGGAATCACGTCCATAGCCTGCTGTCCCTCATATACATCCCCACCTCTAGCCAACCTCAGGACTTGGTATCTCCACCTTAAAGCTGAGAGGCAGCTGAACAACAAAAAAACAATGTGCGCTTAGATCCTCACATCAGAGCTCTCGACCCTGGGCTCAAGTTTACTTTGTCACCTTGACCACAGGAGGACCCAAGGTCTCACCTCTGGACACAAAGAACATGAGTATGAGTGGGATGCCAGTAGCTCACACTTGTAATCCTAGCTACTCAGGAGGCAGAGATTAAGAGAGCACGGTTTGAAGCCAGCCAGGGCAAATAGTCCATGAGACCCTATCTCAAAAAAACCCATCACAAAAATAGAGCTGGTGGAGTGGCTCAAGGTGTAGGCCCTGAGTTCAAACCCCAGTACTGCAAAAAAGAAAAGAACATGAGTGAGTCTGGGAGTCAGCACACACACACAGGAAAAGGCCTATGAGGACCCTTTTCAGAGAACGTGAAGGATTTATGACCTCAGTGGACTTTCTTACAAATAGACAACCTCTCTCTTAGCTGTGTTTGACACCAACTCCTCTGTTTTCTCCCTCAGGAATTACCATGTTTGGAATGAGTGCTGGATGGCTCGTAAGGACCTCTCTCCTGGATATGGAGGCTGGCAGGTGCTGGACGCCACACCGCAGGAGACCAGCAATGGTGAGGGTCTCAAGAGGGAAGACAGGACCCACTCTCCCAGAACCTGCCCCTGCTCCTGCCTGGCCTGCCACAAACCACCCACCTAGGTTCTCCTTCCTGTTCTCCTTCAGGCCTCTACTGTTGTGGCCCTGCCTCTGTCAGAGCCATCAAAGAAGGAGAAGTGGATCTGAACTACGACACATGCTTTGCATTTTCTATGGTGAATGCTGACTGCATGTCCTGGCTCGTCCATGATGGAAAAGAAGAGAAACTTTACCATGACACAACTACTGTTGGTAATTTTATCAGCACCAAGAGCATCCAGAGTGACGAGCGGGATGACATCACAGAGAGCTACAAGTATGGAGAAGGTACAACCAAGCAGCCTCACTCAGAGTCCAAGGCCTGTGGACATTTTCCCCTGCCCTACCCAGGGGGCCAGAGGGAACTTCAGGGCAGGACCCAGGTCCACCATCTCCTCAGCCATTGTCTAAGGTCCCAGTTGGGAATGTTCCCGTGTTTCGCTTCTCTTCTAACCCTCCTTCTTCTCCTGCTCCCCGTACCCCTTTCTTCCCCCTCTTCCTCCTCCTCCTTCTTTCAGCAGTACTGGGCTTTGAACTCAATACTTCGCACTTGCTAGGCAGCTTCCTGGCCCAGCCCTTCAAAACTTTTTGCTTTGTTATTTTGGAGACAGTTTTGCCCAGGCTTGCCTATAACCATGATCCTCGAGATCTCAACTTCCCAAGTAGCTAGGATTGCAGGTGTGAGCCACCAGTGCCTGGCTTATGCTTCACTTCTTGTGTTCACCATCCACTGCCCCAACAGCTCACAGGTCAGAAAGCTCCCCACACAAGTTGCTCACATCCATTGGAGAGTCATTCACAAGCATCACCCATCTTCCTGAAAAATCAGCCTCCCTTTGAAGAGGGATCCATCAACTTAGTAAACACTCTCCTACTCATTAATTCATTTTATTTAACTTATTATTTAATTAGTTATGTTTTGCTGAGTGTGTAGAACACAAGCCAGCACCTGAGTTGATGTCAACCACCCTACGTGGCCAGCGGGGCCAGAGAGTGATTCTGAGGTGACAGCTGGGGCAGAGGCTTCTTACCCAAACCAGCAGGAATGAAGGGGAGGCTAATTAGTCCGGTGTAGATGAATTCTGAGAATTCTAAGTGGTCAGCCACTAGATTTAGCTGCCCGCAAGGACCAGAAGCAGAGTGAGATCTGGCAGGGGCTATGAACAGGAGCAAGTCAGGGTGGCCTGAGGGCCAGGGGAGCTGAGCAAGTGCAGGGAATACTGGTGAGTAATGGTCTGTGGTTTGTCTCTGTGGCTTCTAGGCAGACACAGAAGCTTTAGAATCCCAGCCTCAGAAGGGGATATGAAAGAAGAGACAAGTGCAATCAGCCCTCCATATCAACAGATTCGACATCTGCAGATTTAACCAACTGGGAAAACATCTGGGGCGGGGGAGCGGGGAGAAAATGTCTGCACCTTTTCAGTGCAGACATTTTCTCTTGTCATTATTCCTTAAAACAGTACAGGATAGCAACTATTTACCTGGCATTGACATTGCCATATAAATACCATAGGTATTATAAGTCATGTCGACATGATTTAAAGTGTACAGGGAGATTGTGTAAGTTATATACAAATACTATGACATTTTATATAAAGGATTTGATCTTCCATGGATTTTGCTATCCGTGGAGGTTCTAGACCAAATTCTATAGATATCAAGAGACAACTGTATGGGATACAATACAGTTCCCCTCCAATCCCCAAATCTCATTGACTTTGGGGTTTCCTTGGTTGGGTTGCTCCAGAAACAGATCCTGGGGCAAGGATTCAAGTACAAGTGATTTGGGAGGCACTCTAAGGAATACTAGTAGGAGGGCAAGGAAATGAGACAGAGAAGTAGAGGAAGCCCATGTAGAGGGGGTTATCGACCCGGATGGTACTGTGGACAGCTGGAGCTTGCTCCTAGTGGGGACTCCGGGAGGGTAAATTATGCTTCAGCTTAACTATATCCCAAATTATTTACTGTTTATCTGAAATTCAAATTAAATGACTTTGTATTTTTATTAGCATGTATTAATTGTACAAAGGGTTTTCATTGTGATATTTTTATACATGCTTATATTGTACTTTGATTACATTTGTCCCCTTTATTACTTTTTCTTATCCCTCTTCCCTCTTCCCATCTTTTTTCCCTATCTTTTTTTGGGGGTGGGACTGGAGATTGAACTCAGGGCTTCACACTTGCAAAGCAGGCTTCTACCTCTTGAGCCACGCCTCCAGTCCCTTTTGCTCTGGTTATTTTAGAAATGGGGTCTCAAGAACTGTTTGCCCAAGCTGGTTTCAAACCATGATCTTCCTGATCTCAACCGCCCCAAGTAGCTAGGATTACAGCTGTGAGCCACTGGTGCCCGACTTTCCTTATTTTTAAAATGTGTTTCATTATGACATTTTTATATGTGCATACAATATGCTTAGATCCTATTCCTCTCCCTCATCACCCTGTCTTTTCTGTCTCCCCCATCCCACTGGTTCCCACCCCCAATGCATTCATGATGGCCTTGTATTTTTTTTATTTTTTGCTAAATATATTGCCCTACTGTTGATCCAGTATAATATGTGGAACAACATGGCAGATTTATTGCACCTGAGAGACAAGGGAGCAAGGGCTGGGAGCTTCTCCTTGAAGGTATAACTTCCCTGGCACTTTTAGCCTACCCCATGTATGAACCAAATCTGCTGTCTTGGCAGAAAAGCATCAGACAAAATCACAGGGCTACAATTTTGAAGTGGGGCCATGGACACTGAAATAGCAAGTGCCAAAGGGATAAGAGTAGGACACTGACAGGATTTATTACAGAGGTCCACAAGGCTCCCTGTGAAATTGGGGTTATAGGGTTACAAGGTGGGCCTGAGTGTCCTGCTAAGACATGACTCCTTGGGCTAACAGTAGTCTGTCTCCTCCCACCCAATCCACAGACACCGATGTGCTGAATCTGAGTTTTGTCTTTCTGGGCCCACAGGAGAACTGGTGGAGGCAGCCAGATCCCTGGCTCTTTCTTCTGTTTCATCTAGCTTGCTGTTGGTGCCTTCTATTGCATTTTATTTTTGTGTTTCCATGAGGGCATTTTTTAGCTCAAGAATTTTGGTTTAATTGTTTTAAGAAACTGCTTCCATCTCTGTTAAGTTTCTCAGAGTATTGAAATGTTTCTCTGTGTTTTCTTCATGATCATTGGGTTTCCTTAAAATAGCTGTTTTCAGTTCTCTTTTTTAGAGTTCTCCCATACTGATTCCTATCTGGCCTATTAGGTGAGGTCATCATTTCCTGAAAGCTTTTGATGCTTGTTGGTGTACAGTGTCATCTGAGCATTGAAGGATTAGGTATTTATTCTAATCTTTCTAATCTGGCTTTGTATGTACCTGTCTTTCCAGAATTCTAAGTGGACTGCTTAATTTCCCTGAGCCTATAGTCATTTCCAGTATTTCATCACTGGACAGTGCCTAGGTCCAGATTTTCTGATAGTCTGATGTTGGTGATTTGTTACTGATTCAGTACTAAAGGGCAATCCAAGCCCAGGTTTGCCTCAAATACACTGTTGCTGTATTGTTCAGAAAGAATCTGGAGAGTACCCAGAAAGAGTAGACTGTTCCCACATGCCTCTTCTTAGGGCCAGGGTAGGGGCCCAGCTGCCTCATCACAGTTACCAACCTGTGGTCAAGCACAGAAGGATTCTGACCAGCTCTGGGAAGAGTTGCCATGAATAGGCCAGCCCCAGGCTCCTATGTGGCCACCATTGCCACTAAACTGTGTCACACCCTGAGTTCACAGCTTACCAAGACTAGGACAACACTTGGGAAGGACTTAGATCCATACTGCTAAAGGTTGCCTATTGATGGAGTGTACTTGTGACCCAAGACTGCTGCAACCATTCGCAGTGATGCTAGCTGGAATAGAAATTAGATAGAGTAGAGCTGCATATCTTCCCCTATCACTGAGATAGCCTAGAGGTTCTGTTCACAGACAAGCCTGGGAATGGGGGCTATTAGAATCTGACTTATGTTAGGTTTACCAGCCTAGCACTAATTTCCAGAGCAACATGTTATGCTTATTCCCAGCAAATGGGGTATTGTACCACACTATTGCTGCCAGAAACTGGAGTCGTGTTGGTGAAGATAGTTTCTTAGCCACCCGGGCTGACTCTAAGCTAAGTCTTACCTGCACAGTCTCAGGGGTGCACAGAGGCCCATGCCACAGCTGGTGATGACTCAGGCCCAAAGGTGAGTCAGTCCCACCTTAGGGGGTAAGGAGTGGCTGCTACTGTGGGCACTGGTCTGACCATAAACTGTGCGGCCTGACATTGGGGAAAGGGTAGTAGAGACAGTCTTTTGGCCTTCAAAGCTTATGCTAAACTGGGTTGCAGAAGTCTACATAGTCTACACAAGAGGGCAGGTGTGCATGGCCCTTCTCCAAGTCTGGAAATGATGTGGGCTAAACCTCCAGTCTGTCCCACAGGTGCACAGGTCTCTACCTGATACCCAGACTGGTGTAGAGAATCTACCTGTGAGCTCTGGCTGCTTTCAGGGCCTTCAGTTCCCAACAGGTGCTGGGTCTTACTATAGGAGGCTGAGCACTGGGCTGTAAGACAAAGTTCTGTGCTAGTTTTTGTGCTTTGTTCCCAGCAAGTAGAATTTTGCTCTCCTCTGAGGTTGAAGGAGAGATGGTAGAGGCAGCCAGCCACATGCCCTAACACAGTTTTGGTGGCTCAGTCTGTAGATACTGGTTTTGCATTAGGGTTTGGGGGTTTTTCTCAAGTACTGGGCTTCACCATGGCAGGCCTGGTACCAGGTTTCAAGTCTAAGGCCTGGAGTTAATCCCCTCTTTCTCCACCAAGCAGAAGGCTGCTTGGAGTTAGGGAAAAATTGAGGTAGGCATCTCTTTCCTTCTTGCTTTTTGTTATACTAAAAATAGGCATTGTAGCTTCTCATCTGATTTCCTTAGCTCCTGTGAAGGTAGCTGGTGCAAGAACACTGTTCAACTTTGTGTCTCTATGGTGAGAACATCAGTGGAGGATCTTAGCCACCATCTTTCTCTGTAAACCTCTGTTGGTCTTTAAGAAGTTACTCCTCCATATTTGTGGGCTTTTATCTTTCCCTTGAGAATGTCAGGATCGAGTCAGGTGGTCCAAACACAGGTTTTACTTCTTTTTTTTTTCTGAGTGGTACTAGGGTTTGAACTCAGGGCCTCATGCTTGTTAACCCCCAACACAGGTTTTGTAGTAGGGCAGAGTTGATTTCCACCTGAACGCTTTTGCTCCTTGAGACCTGTGTGACTCCAGGCATGGCATGACCTCTCTGAGCCTCCTTTTCCTGAACTATATATGAAATAACAACAAAAAAAAAATGATACATCTCTTATATAAGTGACATGGGTAATGAAAGATGTGAAGTGCTCAGCAGAGCCTGATTCTAAGAAAGCACTTGATGAATGGGAGGAAACGTTTATTTCTGAAATGAAGGTTCTAATCCTCTCCAACCCCACAATGTTGGTAGAGGTGTTGATGGCTGGGTGTTCAGTCAAGTCTTACCCACTGGCTCAGTCTGGCCCACAGCTGGTACTGTGTTTTTACCCTCCTAGGTTCCCCCCAAGAGAGGCAGGTGTTTCTGAAGGCTCTACAGAAGCTGAAGACTAGAAGGCCCCAAGACACACATCGAGTAGACTCAAGACCCACCAGGTTCATGTCACCAAACCAGGACAGCCCTCACAGCCTGGATACATCGCCTCTCCAACCAAGCGATGTTGTCCAGGTCTCCCTGAAATTCAAGCTACTTGACCCACCCAACATGGGCCAGGACATAAACTTTGTCCTATTGGCCCTCAACATGTCACCCCAGTTCAAGGATCTCAAAGTGAACCTGAGTGCCCAGTCCCTTCTGCATGATGGCAGCCCCCTGTCCCCATTCTGGCAGGACATAGTGTTCCTTACACTGTGTCCTAAAGAAGGTATGGATTCTAAATATGGTCATGTGACACACTGCATCACTGTGGGAGAGGGGAGGGGCACGAGTCAGCCAACAGGGCTCTGAGGGACACCCCGGGACACGGTTCTTCCTATGTCTCCTCCAGCACATTCCTCCTCCTTCCCTGCCCTCCTTCTCTTTCTCTCCTTTCCCTTTCTCCTCCCTTGATCCTCCTTTACTATCTCCAGGAAAAGTAGCAAATTTAGCAGGGAAAGTCTAAGCTTTGGAGCCACCTAGACCTTTGTTGGGGCCTCAACTCACCCATTTAGGAGCAGAATGACTTTGGACAGCCATTTGACCCATCTTAACCAGTTTCTCCACCTGAAAACCTAGTGCCTGCATCAACAGGACCTGGTTTATGTTGGCTTCCTTTTCTCTATCAAAGAACCATGAGATCCAACTCAGGCCTAGCTACTCTCACTCCATCCTGTGTTCTCTCCCTAGCAAAGACCTACCCCTGCAAAATCCCCTATTCCCAGTACAGCCAGTTCCTGTCAACAGACAAGCTAATCCGTATCAGCGCCCTGGGTGAAGAAAAGAGCAGTCCTGAGAAAATCCTGGTGAACAAGATCATCACCTTGACTTATCCGGGCATCACGATTAATGTAGGTGAAAGCCCTGCAAATGGTCTGTGGGCCCCCTTGGCTCTGGCTGGGAGGGGGTGGAAAAATCTGAGAAAATGGCCAGGGTCTGCTCAGGAGAACAGCACTTCTTTTCTTTGCCTCTTCCTGTGCCCTCAGGAGAGGGAGGAGAGTGGCCTTCAAATCACTTGTATCACTAGATTCCTTATGGGTGGGTGCTTGGAAAGGGCCATGGACTCAGAGATTCTCTTGTGCCACTTCCTGCATTGGGTGTCCCAGGGTCAACATGAGGAAAAAAGGATAGACAGGAGGGTCTCAGATCGGGGAAGAGTCCTGCTCAAAGCTCAGATTTGACTTGCCATTTCCTGTCTGGGTGAGCCCCTGGATCTCTGCTTCTTGAACTGTCAAAAGAGGGGATTAGAATGGATGGCTTCTGAGGACACTCCCTGCTCTGATATCCTGTGTCCTTCTGAATGGGAAGGCATTCAGGGCTCTTCTTGGTGTCAACCTGCCAAAGTGAGCCCATGGAGTTCGTGGTAGGGCAACTCAAAGGCTGGGTTAGAACTTGGGCTTCTCTGACATCTTAGCAGAGGAGCAATAAATTTTTAGAGAAGGAATGAGACACAAGAAAAGGACTTGAGTCTTTAGGGGTGGCAAATGGTGAGAGGGTACATATTTGGGAAATTCATGGTAGGTAAGGGCTAATTAGTAAAGATTGCTAGATAGATTTTACAGTGCTCTCTCCAGGCTGATTAGGATCTAAAGATGTCTCGGTGATTAACTTTGTCCTTCCTGGTAGACAGAAGAGTAGGACTCCAAGAGTAGGACTTCTTTGTAAATTTATGTCTTGCCTTTAGGTAAATAGAGGGAGGCCAGAGAGCATTTCTCATGTCTCCTTCTCATTGCCTTCAATTTGAATAATCCTTAGACCAAAGCAACCCATAAAACAGTGCTACCCAGTCCCACAAAGACAAGTATTGCTTGCTTTCTCTCATTTGTGCAAGCTAGGGGAAAATAAAACAGTCATGAAAGTTAAAGGGGACTGCTAAGGAGGTGGAAGGGGAGGGAAATAGGGGAGGTAAGAGAGGGGATAAGAAAGAGTAATAGAGGGAGTGAACATGATCAAAGTATACTACATAAACGTATGGAAGCATCATGATGAAGCCCCTTACTACATATAGCTTAATATATGCAATAAAAATCCTTTATACTTGAAAACAAATAAACAAACAAAAAAACCACAAAAATATCAGTGTTATCCATAAATGTTCAGTGGATTAGGGAATAAGGACTAATCTCCAACTCCTTCCCTTGCTCTGCTTAGGTTCTAGGAGCAGCGTTTGTGAACCAGCCACTCTCCATCCAGGTGATATTTTCAAACCCTCTCTCAGAGCCAGTTGAGGACTGTGTGCTGACCTTGGAAGGAAGTGGCCTCTTTAAGAAGCAGCAGAGAATCCTGTAAGTGCTAGCAGTGCTCAGCCTTCCCTCTTAGTAATCCTGGGATTAGCACTATTCCTTCTTTCTGGACAACAGGCTCCCTGGCCAGGCTCAGGACACTGGAGAACAGAAAGACTAGGAACTAGAGTAGAAAGGGTGTTGGGGTTGTCGTGATGCCTCCAGGGGTTTCTGACATTCTTCCTTCTCTGCTGCAGCATTGGAGTCCTCAAACCCCATCACAAAGCCACCATCACTCTGAAGACTGTTCCTTTCAAGAGTGGCCAAAGGCAGATCCAAGCCAATCTGAAGAGCAACAAGTTTAAGGACATCAAAGGTTATAGAAATGTATATGTAGACTTTGGGTTATAAATTCTGGGACAGTGAACTGGACATGTTGATTTTAAACTTCAGAAAAAGGAGCAGGTTCAAATGCAAGCTGTGCCTTCCCCCCAACACCAAAGATTCCATCAGGCTCTGACATCATCAGCGGGGGAGATGCCCAGGGCAGTTCCCTGGGTCATTAGCACGGTTCCCCAGGACTCTCTTCAGGACCCTGGGATTCCATGGTATCCCATTCAGAAGTGTTTTTCAGCAGAGAGGTCAGAGGATACTGGTTGAACTTGGCCATGATTTTCTGCCCCTCAGACGTCAAGGAAAGAAGACTGGCTTAGCCATTCTCTGTTGCTTTGTTGTTGCAATGGCTAGCTCCCAATAAACATCAGTCCTGGCTCTTGTGTGCTTTGCCCCATGTAATCATCACTTTCCCTATAGAAGGTCCCAACTGCTCCCCAGTTACTGAGTATCCTATTGCTTTGATGCATGAGCCCGTTCACTCACTTGAGAAGTATTTATTGAGTGCCTAGTGTATCCCAGGCACTGTTCTGAGTGTAGGGGGAAAGACAGTAAACAAAGCAAAGTCCTTGCCATGGTGCAGCTTACATTCTAGTGGTGGCAAGGAAGACAGATAATGAACATATCCAGTGGTCTATGAGTCACAATCTAGGTAGAAGAGCAAAAATCCCTGTAGATGTCTCTATATATTACCTACCATCTTTTTATCTTTTTTTAAAAAGTCCGGGAAGTCTCTCATCCTTGATTAATCTTGAATTCCTTCCCATATGACATCCAAGAGTTCCCTCAGTTCTTCCAGGCCCACCATCTTCTCAACATTCACCAGTACATTGTGGTCCTGGAGGACCTTGAATTGGCTGGGATTCAAGGTGATAAAGCAAAGTGAATAATTCAAGATGGTAGATTTTTGGTAGAGAATGAAATACTCTCAGAGTTTTCTATTAGTTGCAGCTTGTGTTTATGATCATTCAAACTTCACCCTTTCTGAGTCCTACTAAGCACAAACAACTCCAATCATGGCCCCCTCTCTGGCATACCTGCTTTCTCATGGCACCCCAAAGTACTGCACCTGCCCAATAGGCACTGGCTCCGTGACTGAGACAGCCATCCTATTAAATGTACATACAAGGAAGATAAAGAAGTTAAACACTTCCAATTATATATAAACAAAAGGATCGATGTAGCTAATTAGAGGGAGATAAGGGGTGTGGTGGGAATTGCATTGTAAATTGATTGTCCTGTTAGAGAGTGGGCTGAGAACCAGGAGTTGGTGGCACAGAACTGGAAGCAACCTACAATTATTCTATCCTATAATTATTACATGACAATCATAAGAAATCATTTAAGGAAAGCACTGTGAAGAGACACATCTTACAGAGACAATGACGTCTGAAGTACTTGGAAGATTTCAGCTACCACACCTTCAGATTCTTTCATGGTTCCTGATTTTAACATCACATTCATTAATTCAGGCAACAGATATTTACTGACTTTCTTTTAGTACCAGGAAACTGATTTATATAGAATCTGAGAACACAAGAAGGACAAGAAAGCCAGGTGCATTGGCACACCTGTTATCCTAGTTACACAGGAGGTAGAGGTGAAAAAATCACAGTCTGGAAAAGAACCAGAGCCTGCATTCAAGGAGTTCAAGTCCAGGCATTTGGAGAATGAAAAATACACAGTAAATTATAAGACAGAGTGGTAAGAACCACCATTGGGGTGACCAACCAATCCAGTTATGGGATTGTGGATGGAAGAAGACTTCCTGCAGGAAATGTTATTTAGACTGAGAGCTTAGAGACCAAGGATTGGTCAAATACAGATGACTCAGGATTGGAAGGAGAAGAAGTGGAGTCAAGCAGCCAGGAACTGCAAGTCATTCAGATGTTAGAGGTCAAAGTGGAAAGGAGTGAGCAGCAGGAAAAGAATGAGGCTGCTCTCATGTTTGGGAATCTGCTTCCTCTGTGTCTTAGATCCCAGTCTCTTCCTGTCATGGCAGGGGTCAGAGTTGACTCTTCTCACTGAGCTGAGCAGACTTCATGCGATTCAACAAGCACTTAAAGGACTAATAGTTCCCAACCCTGGTCTGCCAAAGGAGATTGTGGTTCCCCCCAGAGCCATGCCTTCGAATTAAGGCCTTCCTTGACTCCAAAGGTGGTTTTTGGTCCCTTTCTTTAATATATTGAGTACCTATGCACTGAATGTGCTAGACCTGAGAAATAGAGCTGTAAATATGGTAAATAAGGTTCTCTCCAGCCATCAACCCCAGGCCCCAATATTCCAGCTTCAATGGAACTCAGTATTATTTCCTCCTTACAACACCCAGTACAGCTCCAGGTATAAAGGAGCCTGGCAAAGGGTTTTGAAGGGATTTTGTTCTCCTCATGTGTGTAGCATCAGTAGATCTGTCAGATGTGGGCATGTGACTTATACAATATGACCAATCACACTTTTTTCCCTGGATTTTTTTTTTTTCTTGCAGTATTGGGGTTTGAACTCAGGGCCTTGTGCTTGGGGTAGATAAGCACTCTACAACTCAAAACACACATCCAGCCCTTTTTGCTCTGGTTATTTTGGAGATAGCCTCTTGCTTTTTGCCCAGGGTGGCCTGGTCCTTGATACTCGTATTTTATGCTTCCTGCCACCCCTGGAATGACAGGCACATGCCACCACACCCAGCTTTTTGTTGTTGTTGAGATGGGGGGGGTCTCACCAACTTTTTTGTCCAAGCTGGCCTGGAACCTCGATCCTACTACTTACACACCTCCTATGTATTTGCGATTTCATATCTGGGCCTTTTCCCCAAACTTTGAATGCAAAGCAGTGTGGACTAGAGAAGGAAGAAACCCAAAGCCCATCTTTCCTAGTAGCAAAAACCCAAACAGAGAGAGAGAGAGAGAGAGAGAGAAACAGAAAACTGCTTTCTCTGCTGCCGAGACACCTGAGCTGTCCAGGATTTCATTCTCTCCCAGTTCTGAGTGGTTGTCCTTTTTTCCTAACATGCATATGAGGGGCTCCCTCATGTGCTGGCTTTTTTTCTTAAGTTAACTAAAGATATTTGCAGTTACTTGCACTCTGAGGACTTGGTCTCATTCAGAGATATTGGGTTACTTGCTTAAGATCACACAGCAAGGACTATATGGTTTCATATTTCTACTACACCAGTGCCACTGCAGGCCTGTCCGTTGGTCCTAACGGTGTCTTTGTTAGCACCATGAGCTAACCAAGGAAGTGGCAGAAGCACTCAGTCTCCCCAACCTTGTGAATAACCAGAGAGGCTGGGGCCTACACATGGAAAGGGCAGACAGCAGGAAAAGCTAGACCTTTTTTCCCAGGCCCTGCTTCTCCTCTGGTCTCTGGCCCTGCAAGCCCCTCTGTCCAGCTTTTCTCCATCACTGTCTTTCCTCTGACCCATAGGCAAGCAACAAATGTGGAGTAGGTGTCACCTTTCTACCTATTCCAGGACTGACTTTTTAGTATATGAGAAGTACCTGGTCCTAGCTTTGAGCCTGCTGCTTTTCAGAAGTACACACGAAAAGAATTTGATTGCAAAGTGCTTCTCTCAGTCATCCATATTTCCTCTGACTCCGTAAGATGGGGCCTGGCTTCAGACTGTCTGAGAATGTCAAGCTCCTGATGGAGGCAGGCCATAAGCCTGACCTAGCAAGGGTGTGCAGGAGCTGTTGGAGCTGGATAATGAATGAATCTGTGAGAATGTGAGTTCAAGCTCTGAAAACAGTGTCAGGCTCTGGATAAAACTAATAGTCTCCAGAGAAGTTTCTTTCTGACAGGCAATTTGTATCGGAACAGAGATTATGGTGATAAGGCTGATTTAAAAACTGGGTTTCATAAACAGAATTTTCTCAAAAGAAGAAATTCAAATGGCCAAAAAACACATGAAAAAATGCTCACCATCTCTAGCAATAAAGGAAATGCAAATTATAACCACACTAAGATTCCACCTCACCCGTTAGAATAGCCATCATTAGCAACACCACCACCAACAGGTGTTGGCGAGGATGCAGGGCGGGGAGGGAAAGGAACCCTCTTACACTGTTGGTGGGAATGTAAACTAGTACAACCACTCTGGAAAAAAATCTGGAGGCTACTTAAAAAGCTAAACATTGATCTACCATTTGATCCAGCAATACCACTCTTGGGGATATACCCAAAAGACTGTGACACAGGTTACTCCAGAGGCACCTGCACACCCATGTTTATTGCAGCACTATTCACAATAGCCAACTTATGGAAACAGCCAAGATGCCCCACCACTGACGAATGGATCAAGAAAATGTGGTATCTATACACAATGGAATTTTATGCAGCCATGAAGAAGAATGAAATGTTATCATTCGCTGGTAAATGGATGGAATTGGAGAACATCATTCTGAGTGAGGTTAGCCTGGCCCAAAAGACCAAAAACAGTATGTTCTCCCTCATATGTGGACATTAGATCAAGGGCAAACACAACAAGGGGATTGGACTTTGAGCACATGATAAAACGAGAGCACACAAGGGAGGGGTGAGGATAGGTAAGACACCTAAAAAACTAGATAGCATTTGTTGCCCTTAACGCAGAGAAACTAAAGCAGATACCTTAAAAGCAACTGAGGCCAATAGGAGAAGGGGACCAGGAACTAGAGAAAAGGTTAGATCAAAAAGAATTAACCTAGAAGGTAACACACATGCACAGGAAATTAATGTGAGTCAACTCCCTGTATAGCTATCCTTATCTCAACCAGCAAAAACCCTTGGTCCTTCCTATTATTACTTATACTCTCTCTTCAACAAAATTAGAGATAAAGACAAAATAGTTTCTGCTGGGTATCGAGGGGGTCGGGAGGAGAGAGAGGGGGCGGAGTGGGTGGTAAGGGAGGGGGTAGGGGCAGGGGGGAGAATTGACCCAAGCATTGTATGCACATATTAATAATAAAAAAATAAAAATTAAAAAAAAAAAACTGGGTTTCAGCCAGTTGTGGAAGCACATGCCAATGAGGCAGGAGGATCATGAGTTCAAGGCCAGCCTGGGCTACACTTAAAACTGGGTTTCAGTTTTTATGAGTTGGTCTATTTCCTATTTGCTATTTTTATTTCTGGGAGATAGCCCTTCTGGAGTCCCAAGGGAAAGCCTGGGATGTTCATTGGAACCCCTCATTCTTGGTGGCTCTGGAATTCCAATCCTATGAGACTGTAAATCAGCAAATATCCAGATGGAAAACTGACCATCAAGATCAAGCTCAACCCTGTGCATTCTTCTCCTAAGATCTAGACTCCTCCAATCCTTCGCCATGATTCTTTCAAACAGATATTTTACTTATTTTGACATGGGATTTCATTGTGTTGCCCAGGCTGGTCTCAAATCCTGA